ACGCAGCTTTTCATTCACGGGTGAAATACACACGGAATAAAAATGGTTCAGACGTCAACGAGTGACGCACGGAACCAATTACCTCGTTTCTTACAGTAAAGAGGTGTGGCGTATGTCATCTCATTGTTTGTTAACAACAATCTAAAGTTGCTAATGTTATTAATTTCTTAACCAATGAGAATCTAGGTCACCATTTGGGAGGCGCTAATTATGTATCGCCGAGATTGCCACGCCTTACTGAAAGTTCAAGCAGAAATGATATTTGTACTATTTGTTCGATTGAAACGTAAAATATGAGACGCATAATGGCATTATGTAATAAGGATTTTGTGAAAGTCTCGTTAAAATTTTATTTACTGTATAGGAGGAGTTGCGGATAAGAGATGGGTACCCCCAACATTATAGAAATGTTTTGCTAGGGGAAACCCCAAAATATGTGTCCGATCGAAACGTAGAAAAAGGAGATGCATAATGTCACTATGTTATAAAGATTTTTTTGAAAGTTTCATTAAATTGCATTAGTGCAGTAAGAGGAGTTGCAGGTAAGGGATTGTTACCCTCCAAGTGTAACGGATCGGACATACGGACAGACGCATGGATGGACATCCCCGTCACTAAATACCCATACTTTTCAAGCGGGGGTATAATGTAATAAAAATACGATTACGTATGTTAAAAGTTAAGCGTTTCCTATATAATGAAGATTGTCTTTGAATATAACTATTTATACGCTGAATGTTGGTGTTTTTCAGTTTGCCAAATAAAATTTGAAACAAGTTTTAATACTAGACCTATTTCATCTGACAGGGGTTAAATTAAGTACTTTGTTTTGTTTATTTTTAAGATGTGAGAATAGAGTATAATGTAGCAGAAAGTTACATACACCTTCTTCACTTTCAAAAGAACGTAAAGTACATAATCTTTTAATTCATGCTTTCCCCTGGTTCAATATATTACAGCCGTGTCTTGTTCTAGTTATCTCTCTTCCAACAATGACTCTTGTCACACATGCACACAAAAAATCTTTTTCTGGTACATTTATAATTTTAAAAAAATGGGTGGTATTAGTTGTAAACGATATAATGTACTAAAGATTCTCGTTTAAATAACGATATTTGTCATTTTCTAGTCGATAAATTCAATGGCGATACCATGCATCAAATATTGAATTTTTAAAAAACCCTTTTTGAATTCTTTAATATTATATCTGATATCTCTAATAATTATATATAAGTGAAACTGATTAACATGGTAAACAGATAAATAGTTCAAACTATAAAATGTTCATTTACTATCATGATAATGATACTTCAAATAATTAAACATCAAACAAACAACCATTGCTGTTGGCACCAAAAGATATCGATAACATTCAATTAAAACCGCGATTATGTAAAAGACTCTTAATATAAAAAATGAGCATCTAGATTTCCGCTCGGAAAATGGAATTCAACAGCATCTGATACCAGGCTCATCCAGACTTCCGGATCTTCGACGCCAAAATTTATAATCGGAATAATTCTTCTCTACCATCCTAGTTTTCCCACTTAAATTGTTGGACTTCCTATCAATACACAGGAAGTGCAATGTCTTGGTCTGCACTTTATGTTTCTGTAAAATCCATGTTTGTCATGATCCATGTATTTTTTTTGGAAATCTTGATATTGAAGTTTGACTAATTTTCAATCTAAATCAAATAACAGCACACTAAAGACATACTACATGTACTATCTTTTTGATCACAATTTCTAATCTAATACCATTCTTTACTTCCAACATATTACAGGTTAGACAGAACCACGTATTTTCCAAGGGGGAAGATAACCCGCCATGGATTCTTTCTGATCCGCACCCCTTTCCCACTTTATCGCCGGCATGATTCATCCTTGTTAAGATAAAGCGACCATTGTTTGAGAAGGAAAGCTTCTTTGAAGCCCAAGTTTGTAGGAAACTAGAGATTAACAATATGTAGATGCTTGCTTGTCAAGTTAAAATTACTTTTCGGATGACTTAAGATTTCAGTGCACTCGTCATTTTTGACACAGTACTTCTGGATCGTGTTGATACGAGTCTATAATATAATACAGCAACTCATCGGTACTTTTATTATCAAAGCAAATTAGAAACTACGTTGAAGGACAAAAGAACATGGTAACTGTCCTTTCATCTTCCTGAAAAATAACACTTCCTTCAGGCAAAGAGAGAGTAGAACTGACATTATCTGTTTTGAAAAGGGCAAACGATTCATTTTAAATGATCTGCAGCAGTATTTTACAAAACAACTCTGATGCCAATGCACAACAATTCAACAAGATAAAAATTTCTTGTAAAATATAGTTCTGATTAACCGTAACGACAATCTTCATATTACTTTAAAGTTATAATAACTTCATTTTAATAAAACATTTTTTTCAGTTGAATTTAAAAGTATAAAGGTAAATTTTCAGGCAAATTGTTAACTTCGTCATTGGCAACAAGGATGTTAATGTAGATAAAAAAAATATCGTTTGATTCAGGCAAAGTTTCGTTTATATTTGTTAGCGTAAACAGGATTTCTTCCAACATTTACAACTAATATGATCTTTTGACAGTTTATTGTGGGACTGTAATTGGTTGTCATATGAAAGTATTGAATAAACAAATCTCAAGAAAACCCAATACAATTCTAGATTGTGTAGGAATTGATTCCATGACAAATTTAGAAACAATACTAGAAAAAGAATTAACTAATCACGGGAAATTCATCTCATAAATCAAACTCATTATATTTCAGAGCTACATATCACGCAAGCCAGCTACAGATACAAAACGAGGCGACTGTAATTGAATAGGATTTAATTCACATCAACAACACAAGTATAGTTTGCATTAATTTGACGGACAAATTGGAATTCAATATTTCCATATTTAGTCTTCGACTTTGAAGCAACAATAGAAGAAATACTTAAATGGGGAAGTATTGGAAGGCAATCGAAGATCTTTCAAAACAGGTGCAGCATAGCTGTACATTTATTGCTGATGACTTTATGGTGAGTTTCTGTATTTCGAGGAATTTTAGTCAAGTCCTAGAATTCTCATACATCACATTTATAGTAACATGGGCTAATTTTTGCATTTTATTTTTCACTCACTCATGAATGAAATGTTACATGTAAACGGAATATAGTAATCTTTATCATTCCACTTTCAAACTGTAGAAGATTACTAGAAAAGAAAAAAAAAATCCCCAGCTTCCGTGTTAAACCAGATGTTGTTTGTCATAGAACGCTCCCTGATCAAAGGCTTTAAACGCCTAGCACAGGTCTAAATTTGACAGCCCTTTAGCGGTAAGAGGTGTCGTATGATGGGAATGAAACATTCTCGCAGGGAGAAAAAAACTCATTAAAATCAATCAATTTTGTTTGGGATTTTTTTTTTCAAGTTGTTATTACTTTTAACGCAAGCGCCTAGAAACACAAGAAGTGAGACATTCAAAAAGTTTTATCTTTCCCCGTTTCTCCTTCTTTAACAATGGAATGTAGATCATTTAAAACACACTCTTAACGAATCATTGTATACCTTATTAACCATACACCGTCTTTGCAGAAAAAGAATCGTTCGAGTTTTTGATTTTTGAAGTTTTGAAAGTACGTCATTGTTTTATCATGGGAATAAAAGTAAGTACAAGCAGAAATAAGAAGCTACATAAAAGCCCTGCTAAACCTTAAAAAAGCAGCAAAAGATACATTCAACATAATACACAATATATATGGAGACCGACAACCGTCATACACCACAGTTTCCAGGTGGTTGAAAAAATTACAGATGGAGAGAAAGTGTTAATTAAGATGACGTACGACCCGGGAGACCAAAAAGGTTAGTAATGCAAAAAACTTAATGAAAATCAAAGATTTGTATGAGAGAGAAGGAAGGAGCAATGTTAAGGACTTAGCTCGTATAGTAGGGATATCAATGGGAACAGTTCATGAAATCCTAACAAGAGACCTCGGTTACAGGAAGATCTCTGCAAGATGGATGCCTCATTTACCAAATGAAGAACAATTCAAAAAGAGGATAAACCGACTATTTTCAGACATAGTAACAGGAGATGAAACGTGGTGCATTATTTTCAGCCGCAAAATATGTTATAGCAAGAATTGTCCTCTTCTTATGAAGAATTTTTTTTTAAATAATTTTTTTAATAAATTCTGATTCATAGGAATATAAAAAAAAAAGTCGACTTATAATGAGGTATAATTAGTTCCCATAGGAATTCCAACAGATTGTTGGAAAACCTGGTCTCTAAAGACTACGTAGATATTGTCAATGAGGAACTAGGAAATCTTTTTGATATCAACTTTAGTGTACCTGCTTTTTCTGTTGAAATTTTACTAAGTCAATAGCAGAATTTAAAACTTAATATTAACAATATAATCGTTCATTTTTGTTAAAAGATATTTATATTTCTGTTTATATTAGATACGGCAAGGGTTATTGTTCTTGTGCATTGCATGATGGGACAAAGAACTCCCATCTATTTCGTCTAGACATATAGAAAAGATGACGTTACTTTGATAAACTGCTTAATTAGAAGAGAGAGAGAGAGAGAGTTTTAAAGGAATGTAATTTAATAATTTTAGCACTTCACGTGCTTTTAATCACACAGGTATGAACTCTAAGCATATTTGTGTTATTTACAGACCGCAAAGTGCAGAAAGTAATCATTCCATGGTTAAGTTGGACTTGCTTGTGTCACTTTGTATTTTAAATAGGTCTAGATCTATGAAATATGTGGAGATAACGAACAGTATTCGAGCTCAAAAGTCAATTAAACATTACAAAATAGGAGCAGAGCAAACACGGATCTCTAAGACATCAGAGGTGGAATCAGGTGCCATGGAGGAGTGAGCATCCTCTGCCGACCGGTCACACCCGCCATTACAAAATAGGAGCAGAGCAAATTGTTAAAAGATTCTGATACTCGTAGATTTGAAGCTTTCATAGAATATGACTTTTCTTACCTGCTATAAATTGGACATACCCCGCCATGACAGTAACCGACTTGACCGCTTCGTTTGGAATGCATGATGTGCACACGGCCAGGAATGCCCCACAGCATAAGAGAATACAACCGCCCCCGAACAGTGTACAGGAGGCTTGCCAGGCCCCGGATGGAAGGCTACCCAGATTAAAGTACCCGCCGTAAAATTCACACTTTTGTTTGCCAAAATCCTGATTGGTTAAATCCAAAATTCTGACGCATGTGCTGATGAGTCCAAAGGTTCCCGTTTGTTTTGGAGTGATGATCCAGACGGGTTGGATGAAGGAATAGGTTCCGAGGGCGGAGACCAGAATTGAAAGGAAGGTCCATACCAGTAAAACAGGGGAGTTCATGTCAACAGCTCACTCATCTTGTAGTTTTTCAAACCCTGAAAACGGTACCAATTTTGTAAATGCATGTTTTAAGCAATTAGGCATTATATTACCTGTTCATTACATTATCAAATGTGTAATTCGTTACATCGAATTTTGTTTAATATTCGCCATTGAATTCAATAATTCGTAACTTTAACAGAGATATATTGAAATTCTATGCTGAGCGATAGCTTGCTTCAATAAAGGCAGGAAATGGTCTTTAACCACATTGATTTGAAGCATACTTCTTTCTTGTATTCTGAAGAATTTGTATGACGAGCAAATTTCTACCAACAATACTGTTTTGAAAATCCGCTCAATGTAACATAAATTATTATGTTTGAAGAGATATTCAAAGTTTTGTTGGATATGGAATTTATTTCACGAGTGGGACGGGATTTATTTTTATAATTTTACGATTGCGAAGCACGAGTGAAAATTAAAACAAAAAACACCTGTCCCACGAGTGAAATAAACTCCTTGTGCAACAACAAAACAAAATTTTCTGTTTTTCACATTTTCCTTGCTTTTCCCTTTGCCTCCGTCATAGCTCATTGATCGTGATATTGAAAATTGTACATACAGATTTTAACAACGATTTGGAGAAACTTTGGCAGTTTTAGTCTCTCAGAATGGCATATTTACTCTCGCTTTCTTAAAACAGGCTAGGGAGTGTTTTTTACAATACTTTTTGTGAAGGGAAGGAAAACCTCAAGTTTTATCGAACTTCTGATATTTTTTCACACTGTGTCATTTTGATATTTTTCACACTGTGAAAAAATATCATTTTTTTCAAAAATGATTAACAGTATTTCACTGTTGAATATGTAATAAAGTAAGTTAATCCTGGTTTTTTTTATTTGATTGCACAAGGCTTCATCCTCTTGACAATGAATAATTGTGCAAGAAGTCTTCCGGGTATTATTTATCGCATCTCGTTAACATATAGAGATGCTTCATTCTCTTCTCTGGGAATTTCTCTTTCCTGTCAATCGGCCTGGAAAATTGTGTATAAGGCTACAGGTAACATGCTTCTACTTTTCTATCTGACGAACATGCATATATTTTGTGGATAAACGATGAATCTCACACAGCAAGACACTCCTACGGTTGATTGATTTTACTTTAGACACAGGAGGTTGTATCTAATTTTAATGACTATTGCATCATCGTTATTTTTAAATCTATAATCAAGTTCCTTAGCTCACAAGAGCAAATTTGTCTGTCGTCCGTGTGTCGTCTGTAAATGTTTTCGGCCTCCTCACCTGAGTCAACTAAACTCGCCACAAAGAATCATTAGTTGAAGGAATCAATACTTATTCAAATAAAGAGCCACGTCCTCTTTCAAGGGGCGAAAATTAAGAAATAGCAAAAATACGGTGAAGTCAAAATCTTCCACAGGACCATTGGGTTGGAAACCTCCCGCAATAAAATTGATTTGAATCATTTCAATTATGATTCTCGAAGACAAGATGATAAAGAAGTTTTGCATGGGAATATTTAGAGAAAAACAGTCATAAAAACCATCTCGAGAACAGGCCCCGGGGGTAATATAGGGTCTAAGTTTGTCATGGGATTACTAGTATAAAGATAAAATGTCATTTAAAATCTCTACAAAAGTTTACGAATATGAATATAAATCATCGAATATAAATCACAAGATTTACAATATGAATAACAAATTTTCGAATATGAATAACAAGTTTTCCAATATGAATACCAAATTTTATCAAATATAACACACGATTTGTATAATATTGCGACGTTTATTGCATGCATTACAGTCTTCCTAGGAGAGATTTAATTCTAGGAATTCTCTATGTTCCGTTCGTGTTTGGTTTTGCATGATACTGTGAATTAAAAACAATGAAACTTTTTTTGTTTAACATTTTAATCTACTGAAATGTTTACATGTACATAGGAAATACATTTTTTTGAATTTTGTAGGCTTTCCTATGTTAGAGACAGCTCTGTTCTGAGGAACACGTTTAACATTTAACAACAATAATCAGTTTAGGTTCAGATTTCCCAACATCCTACATATGTATGACGTTTTGATATTTCGCTGAGCATAAAAGTTAGGAATTCATTGGATCAGAGATAATAATTGGTCAAGAAATCAGAAATGGATGCGGACAACTCGTTACAAAAGGGAGCATATGTACAGATCCTTGGTCCAGGAGTTTCTTTTGTGGCCGCTTGTCCGTCTTTCGATGATTAATGTTCCGCGGTCTGATCAATATCTGGATAGATATTATATTCATTCCTTAGGGAAGACAAATATGTTATATGTCAAAAATTGCTCTTTTAATCGATTTAGCCGTGTGGGTTTTTTTTTCCTCTGGACAATCGATATGTCCAAGGTCATTTTCTCAGCAGTGGGGATATCATATCAACTGTTCATCATATGCTGAATAAAGAGGCCTATCGTATATTCCCTCGTAATTCACAAAAGAGGATGTAAAAAAAGCTTTTTTTTTCTTTGTTGTATTTATTTTTGTGTGTGTGTGTGAGGTGGGTGGATTGATGGTTTGATAGCTTTTAAATTATTAATTATAAATGTGTTTCCCAGTAAAACACATTTTTTTGTTTTATATATATATTTTTTTATTTTAATGTTTTAAACTGGATATTTACTCAGTCAGCGTCCTTCATCGGAATGCACAATTAATTTCCAAACAAGTGTTGTTAGGTATTTATTAAAAGCGTACACGCATGTAATTCGGAATCTGCTTGTAAAAATTTTGTTTTGAACATTAAAGTAGTTCGATTGAATACAGTGTAGGATATATATATATATATATATATATATATATATATATATATATATATATATATATATATATATATATATATATATATATATATATAAACAAATAGAAAGGTCCTAGATTTAATTACAGTTAAACAGAACTAGAAACTAAAAAAATACATCTGACCTTTCAAACTCGTGTGTTCCAGCAGTTAACATTTGATAATTCGAAATATTTCAAATTGGATACTAGTTTTTGACTTCACGAAAATGAACAACCACGCTTTTTTCCGTAAAATCTCCTGACATTAGCTGCTAGACATGTGCTGTTTTGCGTGTACTCTTGCTAATTCACTATGTTGTGGCTTTAAACAGAGTTTATTTTCTCTTTCAGCTTGTATAAAAATGTATGATTGTTGAAGTAATAAGGCCCCCATGCTTTTCCATCATAATCACTTGGCCGTTTTGATTTCATGCCCGGTCGGTCCTAAATAAACCGATAATGCACGAATTAAAAAGAAATGTCCCATAGCATGCAATTTCCGGAAAATCCTATAATGTTTTCACCATTTCGTCGATTAGCCTCTCTCTCTCTCTCTCTCTCTCTCTCTCTCTCTCAACGTGCATTGAAACATTTTTCTTACAACTCCTGAATTTTCAATAAAAGGCGAAAATAATCTTGTTAAAACAGACAGGTTGAAACAGATAATATGTTAAAATAGATACAAGAATAAAACTTGGATGTAAGTTATGTAGCAACTTTATTTTCAACTTGTGTTACCGAAATGAAAATCTAAAACAGAAAATAATGTATCTTGAAGTATTCTATATTTGTACCAAATTTCATTTAAATCAGACAAAACTCGGAATTAATAACATTCTGGCATTATTAAATAGATTTTATCATTTAGGTTACCAAAGCAACATCTTCAACCAAAATCGAAAATGGATGGATATAATTACGAATTTTGATGTAGTCTCTATATACTTTATTTTACTCTAAAAATATTAGTTGTTAGTAGTTTTAGTTATTTTGAAATTTTCAATTATTTATGACACTGGGTTACTACAAAACGACGCTTGTTTAAGGAATTTTGGGACAGCCCTCGTAAATCATGTTTTCTTCAAATCGGACAAAAACATCTGAAATAACAAATTACATGTGTGTCATTTTGTTGCATCCATTGCAAAACTATTAAGGATATTCAATCCTCAGCCAAGAAGGATAACTCCTTAATTTATTATTTAATTCAAAAAGTCTCAAAATGAAGCTTAAATATGAAATCTTTTCATGTAACAATTTTCATTTTATGCATCTCAATGTGATTCAACGTTCTTTGAAGTCTTAGAAACAGTGTTTTAAAACGTTGATATTTTTACCCCATTAAGGAGGGATTCTCTCATATTTCTTGTATTTTCATAGATTCAAGATGACAATATCATTAAGTGATGGTATCGATTTGATTAAATTTGACCGTTTTATTTTAGAAGCAAGGTCATTACCCTTTTCCTTGACATTGAGAGTTAAAAAATGCTGTTTCCAATCATGTGATATTGAGCTGATTTTTGGTATACAAGTGTATCTTGATGAGATCAAGTTTGCATTTTGTTCCGCTTCAATGATTTTTGACGGAATTACGACCTTTTCAATTTTTCAGGGTTTTCCGCAATTTTTTTCTAAACGCTTGAAGATATTGAGCTGATTTTTGGCATGTGACTTTACCTTGATGAGTTATAGATCAAGTTCGCATTTCGTTCCGCTTCATTGATTCTTGACGGAATTGTGGCATTTTCAATTTTTAAAGGGAACCAGATTACACTTGCCGGAAGGGGACTAGTATTGCTAATGCAATACTCTCAGAATGCTTGTTTTTACATATGGTAAAGTAGTCATATAAATATACAAAATGATGCAAAAACAAAAAGGTTTGACCGTTTAATAAGAATTATATTTTTTATATTTGATTATTATATTTATTATATTTGAATATTATTTTTTTAATAAAAAACACTTTTAACTGATTTTTTGCTCAAATCCGTTTCTAGGTTGGAAGCTTTCAAAAGCTAAGAAATTGTAGTTTGTATAGAAAATCATTATTATTTACTATATTTTAAAACTTTAGAGCATTCTTATTAATTTAAGTTACATTTCAAAAAATCTTCTAGTCTTTGATTGTTTAAAAAATTTAACTATAAGTATTGTTCTAAAAGTGATTTTGATAGGCAGAAAGAGATATTTTCATACACCGCAGTTGCGCTAAA